ATATTACAACAAAAACATTACAACTACTACATAAATAGTATATCATATATGTATACACTGTGGGTGTAGATATATATTTATATATATAAAATGTTATATTTATTTATTTAATACATCTGATTATTTTAATACATTACCCTAATAAAAACAAATAATAAAATAGTACAATAAAAAAAATAACATTACAACTACTACTATTTAAAGGGGTCATATGATGCTTTTTTAAAGATCATTATTTTGTGTATTTGGTGTAACAGAATATGTTGACATGCTTTAATGTTCAAAAAACACATTAATACTGTACATTATTGTAGGTCCTCTATGCCTCGCCCATAATACACAATTCCATTTAAATATGAATGCTATTTGAGATGTCAAGTTGTTTAAAAGGTCCATTTAGAGGTGGAAATACAGTTCTTTATTTCTATTTTAACTTAAACTTTCACCTTGTAGTGGAGCCAGTAAAACAAACAAACAAACATTAAATTTAGATCCACTCTTCATATTTTCAATAGGAAGGATGCGTATATCATTTAATGCAAGCATGCCCAAACACACACACACACACACACACACACTACACGTAACGAACCTGAACATAAAAGCCAAACAGTCTCAAACGGCGAATGGGAGCAAAGAACGTCACAAGAGGAACGATGATCTCGCTCTGCAACACAACCACTGCTCCGAATCTCAGCAGCCAATCAGGAAGCTGATGGACATACCAGGCCAAAGGAGTGGGGTTCATCTGGTTCTCCAAATGATGACTCAGTGCTGCAAAAGAGTTTTCAAAACACTGTAATCTACAGATGAGTCAGTTTTTCCCACATAAATGTGCTGTCTGCATCACAGTTCTTGGCTATTTTCACCATTACTTCATGCAAATTCAAAGAAACATTCACTCGAATAAACATTAGCCCTTTCACTATTTAAGTCCCTAGATTAGCAAAACCTTACACTAATGGATGTTTTATATGTTCTATAAATCATTTGGGGAGTGAATTTCCAGCAAAGTGCTGTATAAGATTTCCTCATGAATAAGAGTGGGCGGCATCACAAGCACAAATCTCAACCAATACAGAATGAATAATGTTAAAAATGAATCATTTTACCTGAGAGGTCATACCACGCAGGGTCGCCGCTGGCCAGCTTACTCACACCTGTGCAGAAGGTCAGCCGGAAGAACAGCCAGCGGGTCAACCAGAAGCTCACGGGGTCATGATGACGGTAAGAGGAGTGACGCCGCAGTAAACCCAGCGGAGCTACAAGCACAGCCAGAAGCCCGGCCTCCAACAGCAGCACGTCCCTATGAGAGCATTGTCACAATGTTCGATATAATGTTTACACGCCAAAAGCGGAACGAAACAGCGCTACTCATTTGAAGCATGCAGAAACGAAGAAATACATTTTTCTATTAAGATATTTATTTTAAGGAAAAATGAGTGGAAAAGTGTAAAGAATTCAAAAATGTTTTTTTTTGTCATGATCTGACAATAAAAAGCAGTTTAAAATCACAATTAAGTTGATTTTAGCCCTTTGATATACAGTTACTAGTGTGTTTTAGATGCATGTTTACCAGCCTTTTGTTATATATGGCTGGGGTTCTTCAAATATAAGTCAGCTTTTTGGCCATATAATCATCAATTCTGTTAGGAAAGCGAAAGCACATAGTTCACTAACTGATTAGTCATTTATTGGACTGTAATCACATCAAATTTAATGGGCAGGCACATAAACTGCAATGAGGTTTGTGGTCAGTTTTCCCTCTCATAAACATTCACATTAACTTTCTGCTGCAGAGAATTTGACTTGCAAATGCCCCAATTACAGCCTCAACAATGATGGAGAAATAAACAAGAGGTTATGGCTGTGTCGGTTATCCCAAATGTGACACAGCAGGTCAAAATGCAAGTCATACATGACAAATTGTGGACCTCACCATTCAGAGTGGAGGAAGTCTCCACCGACCTACAAAACAAAACACATACTGTAATCATTCAATTATGTTTCCACAGAGGCTACAATGTCGTAAGCCTTTGAAGAAGCATTTGACAATAGTTAACAGGACATTATACTGACATTATAGAGTGAGAGGTAGAGGACCCGCAGGCAGAAGTAGATCAGACTGTCTCTCAGGGGCTCCAGCAGCACGGCGCACAGGGCCAGCGCCACTCCAACCAGGCACGTGAGCTCCAGGACCTGCTGGGGCGCCAGTCCCAGAGACGGCCCCAGACCCAGAAGGGACTCCTGCTCCAGCAGGGGCCGCTGCACTTTTGGCATCTGCAGGCGCACAGGGAGAATACCCTCGTCTCCATACAAACCTGTCCAAAGAGACATGAAAAGAAAAGGCTTAGTCAGTTCTGATCATTCTTAGTGTTATTTTGCATGATATAACTGTGCACACTGTTGATCTGTGATCTTGACCTGCTTTATCCTGAAAACATTGTTGTCTTTTGACGATTGCGTTTTCTTGCATTGGTTACATATCAAAATGTGATAACAAATAATATGGCCTTGAAACAACTTTCCATTTCAATAAAAAGACAAAAACACACAGCACAGCCAATGTGGTCCGATTCATGATCAAAAAGTTACTGAAAACATTACTTTTTACTTGAATATTGTAGTGTTATTTAATTAATTGATTCTGAATGAGATTTGTAGATACCTATCTATAACAAAAAAAAACGCTGTGTTGAAATTGTATAAAAAAACAACATAATAATTGTAATAATCTTTATCATGACTATACTTGTGAATATAATAATAATAATTTATTATAACTACACTCATGTACATATAACTATAAATAACACATATACATATATATACATACACAGTATATACTTATATCAGCATGATCATAAATAATAATAATAAATTTAGCTAACAATTTTTACTATACCAAATATTTATGTAAACAATAATAATAATAATAATAATAATAATAATATTTAGCAAACTATTTTTATTATAACAACTATATTTATGTAAACATAATAATAATAATAATAATAAAATAATGATTATTATTTTGCCAAACTATTTGCCAAACTATTAGTCTCCAGTATCCCCACTACCCTAAAATCGATTGACGGATGGAGGAATAGACAGATGGATGTTTTTAATATAACTATATTCCTGTACTACCAATCAATCAATCAAATGAATAAATATCTGCAACCCATTTTACTTCTACACATGTATGTTTCACATTTTGGAAGTAAAACGAGTTCTAAATGCCATTTAATATTGACTAAAGCTGTATTGATGAGTGAGGCATAAAAAGGTGGCAATATGGAGAAAAAAAAAACAGATCATAGCCCATTTCATCAGGCAAATTTGCTGATTAGAAACACTGCGCTATGCAGTCGGTGCTGATAGACTGCCCTCGAGGTCTGCACACAATAATAAGTTGTGTTTGCTCAGTGATAGTAAAAGCACAAAGCATCAAGCGTCATGTAAACATTCATTCAACACAACACCACAGGCACACACTGCCATGACGATGAGCAAAACAAACCAGTCCTGTGACTTTTTAATGCCTTGAAACAAGTACAGACACCCCACATGTCCTAATACCATTGGATGCAAACAGGTGCACTGTAAAATACTGCTTTACGCTACTCGCTAACAGTTAGTGAACAAGAGACTGACGTACAACACAGAGAGAGACATCAGGAAATACTACTTTACGGTTACAGAACGTTGACAAACTGAACTAATTTTAAATGTGACTGAACTCATTCTTAAGGTGGATGGCGGTTGGCAGAGGTTGCAAAGTTGCATATCCACATTTTTGGCATGCAAGCCACAGCAAGAGTGAGTGTATAGCAGGCTGGTTTGAGTTTGAGAACAGGCCGGGTATTGTGGCAGTGCCAACGTATGACTCACGTTTGCTCTTTGAATTACTCCATTTTGGCATTAGACCCAGTTCTGCCACAACCAGCTCCTCCAATCACACTGCCTTAGAGGATCATTTCCCACGGGAGGAAAAGACTCCATGCGTAATCACTGAGAGACCTGGAGTTTAGCTCTGATTGGGAAATATATTCGCAGGAACTGAAACTTGGAAAATGCCCCCTTTTGTTGAGTGCTGAACACACACAGTCGGGTGGCAAATAACCCAACTCAGAATATCAAACAGGAAGAGAGCTAATATATAGTGCACATGATTTCCTTTATCTGTGAGCAACACAGTTTGCTGGTGGCCAGATTTGTCAGTACTCAGCTTTTTGTGATGAACAGACACTTAGCCCCAACCATACTCTGTGAAGATAGTCAGCATGTGATTATTTCCAAAATGATCAACACACCAATTTTATTATTAAATTTACTAAAATAAATAAATAAGCAGAATTATAATAATTATATATAAATAAGTAAATAGAAATAGCAAACTATGGTTTTGGGCAATAAACTGATGCATTCATTGTGTGTGTGCGTATATAGTATATTATAATATATATTATACATATATACACACACACACTGTATGTATGCATGTGTATATATATATATATATATATATATATATATATATAAATAAAATAAA